CGCTGACACTTCGCCCCGTCAAGCCTGCTGCCCCAACCTAGTCTAAAGCTAAGCCTCAAGAAGCCTCATGAGAATCCGCGGCTTTGCCGTGGCGATCATGATCTACGTGGCTTTCTTGGCTTTGCCAGCCATGGTCTTAGCGAACTTGGCAGCGCTTTCAAAGCTTTCGATTGCACTTTGCAATGTCGTGATCAACTGCTCCAGGTTGTCGATGTCCTGTGGGAGATTCATCTTCTACCCAGACCCCGAATCGGATCCAGTTTCTAGATACGCTTTCGGTGTGTCCCATGTGGAAACGCTGCCTTGTTTCTAGATCCGCTACCATTTTGTGCACAAAAGGCAAAAGCCACAACTTGAGCAAAAACAAGCATTGCTGATAAAAGTAACCGCATGACCGGTTTTGTGCGGAACGAAGCGGCAAAAGCGAACGACCATTGTCATTGTTGCATATTTTGCTTGTTTAACACAACAATAATCGCACATAAACTCTGATGCTCATGATGCTTGAGCCAAAATGTCCTTCCCCTTCTCTCTCCTCTGTATTATATAGTATATGTGTCGCATATAGTGCCAGAATTTGTTTCGGGTATGGGCAGGTTTGGGGTTCGAGCTTTCAAGTGTTCGGTTTGCTTCGGATTTGGGCTTCAGGCTGAGAGGCACCCTGCAAACCGAAGACTTCCTACACTTTAGAGTAAAAACTATGCCGCCGACGGGGAAATACCGCCAAAAGCTGCAATCCGAAGGAGATCCGAAATCCCAAGATCTTAAGGCCTGGTAAGTTTTAGATTGCAGTCTGTTTTCAAGGTTCTGACGACTTGAAGTGGTAATCATATGTGGCAATTAGCGGGGTTTGGGGGCTTGAGGTAGTTAAAGGCTAGATGGCCAAACTTTTCTCCGAAAATCCCTTAAGCCTTAGTTCTCCAACCCTCCCGTCGGGATCTTTCCGGCCCACGGTCCACGAGTGCAGATGCTTGGCGGAAACTTTGACAAATCCAGGATTTCGAGCCTCCAGGAGCCTTTGGGCTTTATTCTATATGTTTATATGCGGAATATAAGCATATGTAGGATTAAAAGAGGCTCCGTCCCAGCACAGCTTCTGTACAGTCCGAACTTCGCACTTCGAAGGCATCGTTCCAATGCCATGCCGCCAATGTATGCATTTCCTCAGATGCGACATGTCTTTGGTAGCAATTGCTGCAACCGCACATCCTAAACACTGAACCCTCCTACTTCTAGTTGAAGAAAAGTCCGAAGGCCACCAGGTCTCGTCATCCTTCGCAGGGGTGGGTCAGCCGGTCACCAGTGGCACAGCCTCCGGTAGAATTGGGGCATTAAGTTCTGCCCGAAAACCACACCCTCTAAAGCCCAACATCCTAAAACCTGCACCCGGGAAAAGCAAGTCTCGATTTTGGCGCTTTTAGGGATTTCGAGGCTTCGGATCTTTTGGATTTCGGGGGTTCGGGCTCTATATAGCGGGATGCAACTTCGTGGGACGAAGAAACGATGGAAACCAGAAATATACCTATCAACTTAGGACAGAACCGCGGTTATATCTGGCACCAAGCTGCTCGTCTGCAGAAAGCTCTGCACGGTCAAGAGGCTCGGCAGCAGAAAGTTCCAGAGCTCCCGTACCTTAAGCTTCAGGGCGAAGGGGTTAGGATTTTAGGGGGTTTGGGTTTAGGCCAGGAGAAGTCGGTGCGGTTCTGGCTCAAGCGGAAGCTGCCAGGGTGCTGCGGCGATTTCAAACCAGAAGCCAGGGTCTGAATGGGCTTATGCGAGGCTGCAACGAAAAAAAGAGTTCACAGGTCGTCATCCGCCTTAATGGCATCCATCATCTCAAGCTTTTCGTACACGGAGTAAGCCCAAGTACGACGATGCACGGACCTGCAGATACGAGCGATGTGGCCATTCAAGGATTCATCGATGTATGTGGAGTACATCCTTGGATTCCCTTTCCGGACCGCCCGTTGAAGCATGTGATACATCATATGGCTCTTGGGCATGAGATGCATTTCAGCTTTTTCGCAAAGGCAGATGAATTCATCGTACGTCTGGAAAAGCAGGCCGCAAACTGTCTCGTCGATCGCTCTCGGATGAGAAGCCATCACTGCATCGAAGTGCAGTGCCGCCTGGCCGGCTTGCAAGAGCAAAGCGAAGGTGTCGGCCTGCTCCGTCGCTGCAAGAACACATTTGTGCATCTCAAGCCTGTCAACCAAGAAGCCCAGAAGCCCATGAGTTTCGGCAGCTTTTGCCTTCACATATTTGCCGGCCACCATTGTCAGTGTCAAGTTCCAGACCTGACGGGATGATCGATAAGAAATTCCGGCGGGGTTGATGTCTTATATACACAAACTCATGATGTGCCGAACCTCGGAACCCTTCGTTTTCCAGCTGCCGTCATCGTCAAACTGGCGGAGACGTTTGTAGTACGACCACAACTCGGCACGAAGACAAAGCAGAGCAAGCCTGTCGGCCTCCTCCTTCTCCAAATCCGGAATCAGAGGTCTGTAGATCATCGTCGTGAGGAGAAGCCGCAGGCCATATGCGATGAAGGTGGACATTGGTCCGTAATGCCAGGTGTGCAGGATGTCCACACACCACGTGTCCACCGAAACCCCTGGGATCTGCAAGAACGGCGATTGGTGAAGAACTCGCCCATGCTTTCCGCCAATGTAAAAAACACATGAGAAGGGGCAGGATTGCTTCGCGAAGTTGCCGACATCTGGCAAGCTTGGGCTCGGCTCGAGCCGCCAGCCCTGCCTCAGCCTGAGGAGCGGGAAAGAGGCCTTCAAGCATCTGCCACGGCCGGTCTTGCGGCGGTAGACGAGCAAGCTTTCGATCTTCATTTTTGTCTCCTCGTCCGGCACAACTATCTCCTAGGATCTGGGATTACTGTCAGCAAAGGCTATTTGGTTTCCCGGCTTATGGGTTCGTCTCACTCTCAAACAACAAATGACCGGCGGGTGGCCCGAAAGCTCGCAGCGACGAGCTCCTTGTAGGACGTCTCGTCGAAGAGCTTGTGCGGGCAAGTGTGCAATGTCATTGTCCCGACAGCCAAAAGGTCCTTCTTCTGCACGGTGCAAATTGGACATGGGTGCAAGTTGTGCGACCATGTGCGAAAACCGCAGATCTCGATGTATGCTGGCCAGTCAGCTTTGTAGTCCAGGATGCAAACACGAAGGTCCTTGTGGTCGAAGCACATATCTCGCCGAAAGCTTTCTAGCAGCGGAAAAACCGAGCACCAGCCCCTGCAGCCACATGAGCAAAGCTCCGACAGTCCTGGCTTTTGGAGGGGTTAGGCTTTTGGGTTATTGAGGTTTTAAAGGGAAACCGATTCTTATAAGCGGCTACATTCAGATCAGCAAAGGGACTGAGCAGCCACACGAGTTGTTGCTTGCGAGTGCGAAGATTGGTCATGTAAAAGCCGAGGAAATTTTCGTTCTTCGAGTATTGCACCCCATCAAAATAAACAGACACGGGCACGACGTGCTCCCGGCGGAAACCTTCAGCGAAAGCCTTCTGAGCAACAGGATGGCCCTCGTACAGACCCAAGTATTCCCTGTCGGCATCCAGGTGTGCTGTCACAAACTCTGTATCAGCATTAGCACCTTCACCTAAAAGCCGCAAGCTTAAAAGCTCTCTGCGAAGCATATCCGAAGCAACCCTTGTAGGATGCTGCACTGAAACTCTCCCGATTGACTTCTTGCAAACCATAGGGACGGCAACATACTCCACATAGGGCTTCTCGTAGTGCTTGCCCAGGTGGTACCTTACTTCTAGGCGTTTGTTATTTCTCCCCCCAACCCCCTTCGACCCCAAGCCCGAAATATCCCAGCGTAGGCCCTCCACTATAATTTATTATAGCATAAGAACAAACCAAAACCACTGCCAATCTGAGATGGGGAACCGAAGATGCCCTGCTCCATGCTTGGTCGCGATTTCCGGGTCCAGCCCCAGATCTTCAGCTCCCCGGCCGCCAGATTCGGTGTGAAGGTATGCGAGGGTGCACGTGTCAGCAGCGGTCATAGATCCGGACGAGTACTTTTCAAGCAAGAACTTTCGAAACTTCTGTCCATTCACGGCCAACGATTCAGTATCTTCTGCATGAGCTTCCGGGTCAACCGTGAAGGCACCGCCAGCAAGCTCCAGCGTGCGAGCTCTTTTGAAACTCATGGGCGGATGCGAGGGATTCAGGACTTCAGGTTATTGTGGGGCTTGCGGGGCTCAGGTCGAGTGTTTCCGAAAGCGGGGTTTGAAGTTTGGGCGGCCTGAAACTTTTCGCTTCGGACCCAGGGCTTTGGAATTCACACCACATATGCAAGCGAGGCTGCAACTGCCATCAAGATCGATGCATCGGCTGCACTGCGTGGTGGTCGCACAGCAATTGAGGTTTGGGTCTTCAGCAGAATTCGGGCTTGGGGTTTTGGGTTACTTAGCTTGAGGCTTGCAGTTCGGGCTTTAGGTTATTCTAAGCTCCAGGCTTGAAGTTCGGCGCTTCGGGCCTCACGTTGTTTATTCAAGGCTGAGGCTTAGTGTTCGGGTCTGGGTTGTAGATAAGTCCAGACTTAGAGTTCGGGCTTTGGGGTTTTAGGTCGTTTAGGGCTCAGGCCTACACGTCTAGGTTGTTCAGGGCTGAGGATGAAAGGTTTTAAGTTCAGGGTTTCGGGATAAATTTCTGGGCTTGGGACTCGTCTAAGCTTTGGCTCACCGAACTGTGGGCTTGGCAATCGTCTTAAGCTTTGGCTCACCCAACACAAGTAGCGATTTCATCCGACCCATCGTGTCCGGCCAGCAGCATGCGTCGGCTGCTGGTTGCCTAACTCAGCCGCCCCGATACAAGGCCGAGCATGCCCCTATAGATGCCGTGCAACCAGCATGGTTCGATCTCGGGATCCTGGTTAAGGGTTTATAGAGGTTTAGGTTGAGGCTGAGGGTATATCTATATATAGACGGCACTACAGCCATAGCAAAGGACTCCTGGAAAGGGTAACCATGCTGGCTCACGGCAACACCCAAGCTGAGGATCTACAGCGATGCCTGGGATGCCGAGCGTTTGGCTTCTTCTGAGCTTTCACCGAAGGCGGGATCATAGCATTGGCGTGAGCATCTGCCATCTGTCGAATCTTCGTCGTGCACTCATACATGCCCTGGATCTTAGGGCCGAGTTGACAGCACCATTCACAAAGCTTCGAGTGGTAGTCGATGCCATAGGTTTTGCGGAGGCGGCTGGTTTCTTTTGTTGACAAAGCCGCCACCTTGGCCTCTTTGAAAAACTCGTTGTCTGCATACAACTGCACAATCTCTGTCCTCAGGAGTTTGTACGTATGCACAAAATCCTTTGCCCAGCTCCAAGCAGCCGGGTCTTTGGACATGTCGGCAGTCACTGCAGTCATAGAGTTATCGGACTGGGCCTCCATAGCCAAATACTCCTTGAGTTCCCGCTCCTTCTTGGCTGTCCCACTCGCCTGAGCAGATTTCTTAGCTTTCTTAGCGGGGTTCTTCTCCTCGTCAACATCATCTGGCGGCAGACCGCCATTTGGCGCCGAGCCCATAGGATCATCACCACCTTCACCTGCAGCAGACTTAGCCTTGCCTTTGGCCTTCGCCTTTGCCTTTGCTTTCGAAGCCGGAGGCATTGGTGCTGCGGATGGAGCGGGGGCAGCAGCTGGATGCGGCAGCTTGGCATTGCAAGTGCCGTCTCCACGGCCCGGCTGGGGCTTGGCATTCGGCAGGGTCTCGTAGAGCTTGGCAAGCCCTTTGAGCCCCAGCTCGTGTTGCTCCAGCATGTCCTTCGTAATGTCCTTAATCGCTACATCCTTCTCGCACGAGAAGGCCCGAACCGCCTTGCAGTAGTCCAGTGTCTCGCTCCAGGACGAAGCCACATTGTCGGTCGCCTGGATGGTGACCCGGTTGATCCATTCAGTCTGGCTTGAGGTAGCAACCAAAGACTCCACCCAGAGGTAGGTGTCGGCCTTGAGCCAGGAGTTCCAGCTGTAGCAGTACTCCTCAGGGTGCGTTTAAGATCCGAAGGACTTAAGATTTGGGTTTAGGGTTATAGATAGGGTTTTGCCATTCTAGAGAATGAGTCTTTGGAAGGGGTTGGGGAGCTACTATTATCCAGCCTTCAGGTCCGATCGGAGGCACATGCTGATATAGCTCTTGGCCTGCATCCTGGCCTCCTCTTTGTCGCTTCCACCCAATATCATCTCCAGTTGAAGCTGGGTTTTAAAGGTGCCCAGTTCCTCCTTGCGTTTGCGATACGAAGACACTGTGCTTCGTTCAGAGTGGATGAACTGCCAGTCGCGACTGGCTGCCCAGGCCTGTCTGAATCTGACCTTCTCCGAGTCCAGCAAGGTCTGGTACATCTCCTTAATGTCAGGATGGTGCTTGATAGCACGGCCCATGGCCTGAGCAGTTGGCCCTCTTGCAGAAAGATTGAGGTCCTTCGTAGCCCAATGCACAGCACCATTGGAATCCGCATTCACCATCTCAGGCGTGACATTCTCCAGCAGCAGCCCAAAGTGGGTGGCGTAAGCCTTTCTGGCCGATAGCATCGCCTCTTCAGTCAGCTGGGGGCCAGCTGGTGTCGCGGATGCACTAGAGGATTGGGCTTCCTGCGACTTCGTGGATGGGCCGTTCAGGGCTTCCTCTTGCGACTTCGTGGATGGGTCGTTCAGGGCTTCCTCCTGTGACTTCGTGCCGTCGAGGGGTTCCTTCTCCGATTTCGTGGATCCAGCATTAAGGGCTTCAAGAGCTGCTGAGTTCGCCACGGTCTTATCCACTGCACTCGCTTCCGAAGGGCTCTTGGGGTTCGATCGAGGCGGTGTCGTAGGGTCCACTTGGGTGGCAGCAAAAGCACTCAAATCCTTTGTTGCAGCATGTGCGAGGATCATGGCTTCGGCAGCCCCATCGGCAGCACCTTGGCTCCAATCGGAGCCCTGTGTTTCCACGGTATCCTGCAGAGACATTTGTAGTCTCGATCCTACAGCAAATATAACCAGCACAAGTGCCTGGACAAGTGCTAGCTGTCGTCTCGAGAGATGCATGTGATCGAGCAGCACGATTTGGATCTAGATCGATCTACCATTAGGATTGTAGGGCACTGGGATAAATTAATATTATATATATATATATATATATATATATATATATATATATATATTTGATATACATGATATTAATTTATCCCAGTGCCCTAAAATCCTAATTAAAGCTAGGGCAGGATCTAGATCCTCTCGTGTATCTAAATCCCTGGGTTCTACTGCTGTATCCCAATCACCTCGATCGCGAGAGTGAGTTTCTAGTTTCTAGATTGACACACATGCAGGAATTAAGGATCCAGATCCTCATGCGTATCTAAATTAGGTTCGACGGTGCAAGTTTCTAATTTCTAGATTGACACAATGCAACAAACATGAAAGGATCTATATGCATAGATTCTACTTCTAGATCGACAGCAACAACGAGGAAGGATCTAGACTCTCATGCGTATCTAGATTGAAAGGTGCTAGCATGGGTTAGCTGTGTTGATGCTAGTTTCTAGTTTCTAGAATGACACGATCCAACAAAGAGGAAGGATCTAGACTCTTATGCGTATCTAGATTGAGAGGTGCTAGCATGGGTTAAGCTGCACGATGCTAGTTTCTAGTTTTTAGAATGACACTATAGCAACAAGCAGGAAGGATCTAGACTCTAATGCGTATCTAGATTGACAGGTGTACTGCGATCATATAGCAGCAAAAGCCCTGCACATGCGAGGTTCTAGTCTTTAGAATGACAGAACCGCAACACCGATCAGGTTCCACAATACAAGCATGTATCCAACTAGAAGCAAAATCGCACAAATTGAGGGCTCCAGGGGACTCATCGGGGGACTCATCGGGGATCCACTTCGGCTCATCAAGATCTGTGGCTCTCTACGATCGACGATCTACATGAGCTATATCATTAGAGGACTCATCGGGGATCCAGTTCGACTCATTAAGATCTGTGGCTCTCTATGATCCACGATGATCTAGGATGGACTCATCGGGGGGCTCATTGGGTCGATTCTTGGGATGTACAGTACGATAGGGCTTGCAAACTAGCGGTTCGATCATTTTGCACGACGATGATCGTCGGATACCGATCGAGGATGCAAAGCGGATCTGGATTGCAATTTGGATCCTCGCCGATTCTCGTGGCCCGGCCTACATGATTTGGAACCCTCTATATCTAGATCCTCCCATATATAGGTCCCGTGAACTAGAACCTCTAATCCAGGTAATTAAACCTAGCATATGTAATCAATATCCTCGAGACTGGTGCACACCTCGAGATTGTAGTCCATCTACTTATATACACTTATAATACACATATCGAGAGAGAGAGAGAGAGAGAGAGAGAGAGAGAGAGAGAGAGAGAGAGACAGAGAGAGAGAGAGAGAGAGAGAGAGAGAGAGAGAGAAAGCTCGAGAGGGAAATATAGACACAGATATAGATACATATGTGTGTGCGTGATTGGGTACTGCCCCGATACAGTAACAGTCTATATACATATATATAATAGGGAGACTACTATATGGGCCTAATACATCTATTCTATAAATAATATCCAGCTGTTACTGTGTGGGGGCAGTACCCAATGGATAGATATGTAGATATCTCTCTCTCTATATATGTATATATATATATATATAGATATTACAGGTATATAGATATATATGGATAAGTAGATACATAGATATAGGTGTATATATATATATATATATGGATATAAAGATACATGGATATAGAGATATTGGTATATATATATATACATATTTGTACCCCGATATCTTAGCTTGCAGAACCTGAAACCCGTAAACTCCAAGTCGCTGGCCTGCATTCACAAAAACCTGTCCTGCTTGAAGATAAAAAGATGATCTGAAGTCTCACACGAACGGACTTTTCGCTCTACGGATAAGAACAGATACTACGAGAGTCTGGCCTGCCACGCTGCGGACATGCACTGAGGTTTGACCTAACAGGTGCACACCGAGTCGGTTGGCTTCGAGGCAGTCGAGCTCCGCTCTGACTGGGACGTCTGCACAGGCTGCGGGATCATTGTCGGATCTCTTGCAGCTCATAAGGTTGATCCATTTGAAGTGTTCCACCCATGACTGTTTGAAGTAGAGACCGTGAGCAGCTTCCTTTCGTGAGGCCGTCGGCAACCATCGATCGCGTATCGACCCAATAAAGGTAGCGAAGTCGCTGCTTCACAAGAAGAGCCCTCAGCCAGCAAACATGTAGCAAGAGGCTTGGTTCAGCTGGAATCTTGATGTTCGGAGCAATGACTGCTGTGCTGACAGAGCGCGCATCAATTGCTAACCCCAACATCACCGAGCATTCAAGCTCACCCTCGCTCAACTGCTTAGCTGAAGTTGGACTCAGCACACCATGCTTGAGTTCATGTAAAGCCACAGTATGCAACAACCCGATGTCAGCAGCATCGGTCGATGCAAAAAGCTCAGAAGAAAACGTCGATCTCGTCACGTGCCTCTGGGCCTTACTTGCAAAGTCCACCAAATGACAATGCGTTGACTTTAGCCCTTCATTGACCCCATGAGCGCTAACCCGGACACTAACTAATCCCCTAACCGATAAACCATCTTCAGCCTTAGCCTTGTAGGAAGAATCGGATATCTGGAGGAGCATGTCTGGATAAGGCATCACAGGATACTGGATGCTTCGAGGGTTCGCTTGAACCCAAAGAAGCAAAGTGTTCAAACGCTTCACGTGCACTATGCGGGCTTGGTGCGATTCGCGCTGGAGCGCTGTAATGAACACTGCAATGTCAGGGCGCGTCAGCAAACCATATGCCAACGTCATGAGCAAGCTTAAGAAGTGTCTACGGGCCTCTTCGGGCAACAGTTTCTCGGCAGGACCGCTGAGAGCACTCGGTTGCGTGATGGGCTTGCACGCAGCCAGAAACTTGTTCTGGTCCAAACTGATGCTTCCGTCAGCTGCTTGCCGATGCTGGATGCCACAAAACGTGAACACGTGCCATTCGATGTCCATGCGGCCAAATGTAGCAGTGAGGTGCTTCACGAACTCTTCGATTAACCTGCGAGGCCCAATCATCTTGAGGTCGTCCACGTGCTTGATGATGGCCATGACAAGCTCATCAGACTGATGAAGCAGCTCTAGTTCTGAATCCACGCTTGAACTCTTGAACCCGAACTTTTCAGTGACCTGACGCAGTTTCATGCTGAATGCTCTAGGAGCATCACGACAGCCAGTCCCCGGCTTGAGGCAATGCAAAGCTTCTGTCCTTGGGTTAAATGTCGCAAACTCCGGCAGCATTTTCAAACATGCGAGGCCTTCTCCGGACAGTTCGAAGCTCACGTCGCGACGAGGGCGGTCGGTGGCTTCAGCCAGTTCATCGTAGGATACTCCTTGAAGAAATGCCTTTGGGACATCGGAGGATGCGATGACCCATCCGCGAAGGACGCATTCGCTGACAAGTAGCCGTTGACTGAACCTTGATGCTGTCGTGGCGAAGTTTGACTGATCGTCAGCGCCGCTTTCTTTAAAGCCTCTCAAACAAAGCCTAGCCCTAATGGTACGAACACCCTTAACGTACTTCCACTTGTATACCCATTTGGCATCGATGATACAAGAGCACTGGGAGCGTGGCTTACGTGCGAAACACTTGAAGCTCTGCCAAGTCTTGAGCTCATTCAGCACGGCTTGAGTGACTTCAGCGGCATGCAAGCGAACTTCATCCTGGGTCAGCAAGTCATCTGACCTGTCGATGACTGCTTTCCTGGTGTGCGTCTCATACATGCGCACTTCGACATGTTCACCTTCCTCAGGTAGGCGACTCAAGCCTTCAACAAGCTTACACATGTCACCGTACACTTCCAAGGCAACATACGCTCCGACCTCATCTGCATCTAAGACTTCTGCTTCCGAGGCGGTGTCTGCACAGGCGAGGTATGTGGACATTTGAGCTTCTGTTGCCCAGGAGCTTTCAGAATCTCCGTTGACGGCATGCCAGTTAGGGATTTCCGCCTCACTCATGGCGATCAAGTTTCGCCTTGAGCACATACTCGGAAGGTCAATGTTCCCAGGTGGATGTGGAGCAGGCTCAGAGCTGGAGGCAAGGTAGGCCTCGGTAAGCGACGCCGCGTCCTCTGGAGGAATGGAGTCTCCAAAGACTGCACATAGATCACTCCATGCGACAAAGCTTTCGGACTCGGCGCCCTCAGACTCCTCAGGCACTGTGGAAAGGCGTTGCACAGAGCCGGCTTCACTAGAGGTGGCTACAACGGAATCCGCGGTGGGACTTGTCCATCGCACGGAAGTAGCCCAGCCTTCATCATCAGGGACACAGAGAAACTGTATCAAACGAGCATCGGACCAGGCTTGACTCAGGAGCTCAACAGTTGAGACTCTGGAGGCCTCACTGTGTAAGAAACTGATGTTCCGACTCCCAGGAGCAGACCACCACAGCAACAATGTATTGCTGTATTCTTCGCGTGCAGTGAGGGTGCGCACAGCGTGGGCTAAACGAACGGCCACTACACCAGAGAGCTGAAAGACGGTTTCAGCGAGGAACATACACGCACGATATACCTCACGATGGGCTTCAGTCTGAGGAGTCTCGGTCCATTGACCCGCTGATGTTCGAATGTGGCCCAAAGTCAACACGGTACCGTGCTTGAGGCTGTCGGTGTACGTCTGAACATACTGCTGTGCATGGTTGGCTTGGGAGCCGGCAGGCGCAATCAGGTCGTCGGCTCCAAAGAAGGCAGAAAGCTCATCAGACAGAAACGTTAAGCTATGTCGCACGTCCTGCAAACGGCATGTTAGCACCTGGTCTGTGCTCGTACGAATGCCTATGCGGCCGTGCTCAAGCCTTGATAGATCGACAACTGTGCTTGGGCCACGCCAGCCTGATGAGTCCTTGTTCAGAGGCTCACGCCAGTAGTCCACGGCATCTCCGA